ATTATAATATTATATCATACATATGTATTTCTGGATTTACACTAATATCATTATCTGTTATTTTAAATATATAATTACGTATATATTAGTATTATCAAATTCTCTTTTATAAATAAACACCTGCATTTTATAGATATATTTTTTATTCTCTGTTAACCATATTTGCAATGTGGGAAATTAAAGAAATCCAATTTTTGATTAATGAGAGAAAAAACCGTAACACTGAATATCATAAGATGTTTAAGAAAAATCGATTTTGGGAAAGTGTGACCAATTGTTTAAACAACCGTTTTAATCGTTTCTATACGAGTAAGCAGTGTAAAGATAAATTTGCTTAATTAATTAAAGAATATAATGTAAGTAACTATAATTTAAATCATATTATATAAATATACTTTACAAATTCACTGTTTTTTTATTTTTTTTATTTTTTTTACTAGTTAATGCATATGTATCATATAGGTGTTTATAGGGGCAAAAGTACCTTACTTGGTCGATTGTTCTATGAAGATCTTAAAACTCAATTCTGGCTTAGGCCAAATAAGTAATTATTATAATTCTTGAAATCTTGTACTCATGATTATTAAATTTTTTTTTTTTTTTAGACGATTTGTATGATTTAGAGCATGATATTAATTTGACGCACACTCATTGACAATGAAAATTGAATTTTTCAGGATTACCTGGTCAATTAAAGCTGAAAATGTTGGATTATGAATCAAACTCAGTAATGGATGAATCAAGCAAACTGGTAAATCAAGTACAGCAAGTGACAAGTGATTCACCTGTTGTGCATAATAAGTGAATAATCACGTTTTGAATAATTAGTTAGCTTATGCTCGTTTTTGGTTTTTGTCATTTTATTTTGCTTCTTTTTTTTAGTTTGCATTTTGCATAATGAATATAAATGTTGATTGTATTTCAATAATATATATGTGATAAATAAAATTAATGAATACCGATACGTATGCATCTTTATTTACTATATTTTTTTCGATCGAGTCTAAC